CACCGCTCCGCTCAGTGTAGGCTCTACTATTTAAAATCGCGGAGTCCGCGTTTTTCAGCTCATGATTTTGAAATTTTTGCACGCTCTGCATAGAATTTCCTCATCTAAATTGATGAAACAAAATATGTATTAAAGGAAAATATAAAATGTGTTTTGTAAATATTAAGGTGATTCCGTGTCAAATTTAATGATCCCCAAAGCTTTTTTAATTATTTCTTTTATATTTTGTGCTTTTACTGTGGTGCAGCGTGTGTACGCACAACCAAACGCTTAAAATTGAACGTATTTGCCTCTAAAAAATCGATGTACATACGAGTTAAAACTAATAATTGCAAGCTTCTTGGTTTTTTCCCCATTTTTATTCATTTTTGTGTAGTTTCTTTCAACAAAAATCTCATTTTCCGCGTGGACGTAAACGACTGGACAAAACAGGTGCGCGGACAAAAAATCGTTGACAAAATGTCGAAATGACAAATGTCGAAATGTCAAAATGAAACCAAGTTAAATAATCAACCCGCTGATCCAGAGTTATGCAGATGCAACCAAAAACAGAATTATACAAGCATCCTACTTCAACGCGCGTTACGTATACAACTAACCTAGCCCACCAATGAAAAGAGTGAGCTTCAACCGAGAAGAGGTGTCAAAGTGCCGAAAAATTCTCCTACTTCTCTCTCTTGAAGCAAAGCAAATTAGGCGAATTTCTATAAAGGAAACGGCGCACAGTGAATCGAATCAATTAGAGAGGTCGGACATAAAATTGTGGACTAAAACTGCATGCACATTTGATGTATATTTCGTCACATTTAAATCTCAAGGAGTGCTTTTAGAGGCAAATTTCACAGGAAACCAATGGAACCCTTTCCAGAACCTCAAAGTTTTTTTTTTTTTTAAATGGAGTTATGAGCGTTTTAAAGTTTCCAAATTGTGTCCGACCTCTCCTATCGACTCGATCCACTGTACGGCGACATTCCGATCGCGTGCCTCGATGCCCATTCGAACGATAATATTGCTCATCAGTTTGCGGCTTTGATCCGCACTCCATTCGAGACACGTGCCGAAATGCACACATTAGTCAAAACAGAAATCGATCGGTGTCTCGTCTGGAATATCTTATTTATGGGGCACTGAACAGACTTTCAAGGGACTCGTGTTCCACACACATTAGCGCCAGGCAGTGGTGCGGAATTATACACACCCCTCCATTAGACACAATGTAACGGAGGCGAATTTTTTAAGCAATTCGGAAGTGTTGTAAAACCAGACTGCAAAATCGTGTTCATGTATTAACCTTATTTGGGTGGATTGATACGGGAACGGCATGGGTATCCTCCCACAATTCTGAAACCCCGGCTCAAGGAAGATGGGAATGGAAGATAATATGCGCCGTGGAAGAGACACTGACAACGAGTCACGCGCAGCGTATCGGTTTATAATATTTGGTCTGACGTCATCGTTGATGACGAGCACTCGGAGAGTGTTTTATGTCGGTAAGAAAAGTGAGTTGTTCGACCTGGTGAAGGATCTCCACCCACGAGGTTATTAGCACCGGCGGTATTGATAAACACTCGAAAAAACTATCACTCCAGTGATGCGTCAAACATGACCGAAGAAAGGGTAGCCAGAGAAAAGTTTATTTCTTTTCAGAGACCGTGCACTGCGTTATAGACTGTGCATATATGTGACGCAGCGTGACAAGGTGTGTCAGAAGGTGGAAATTCAAAATTTTCAATAGAGCGAAAAAGGTGGTTTCCTTGCTAACACAGTAATACAAAAATATTGAAATAATTTCGCAATGAAATGCAACAAAATCGGAAGTTTTTTTTTCTATGTTCAAATGTCAATATTTTTACATCTTTTAATCAATAAATGCAGATTTGAAAGATCAAAAAAGGGAACTTCATGCGCTAGAAAAGTAGACAACTTGCAACGCAAAAAAAATTGCAACTTCTTTCATTTTTTACCATAAATTTCAATCAAAAGAGCCTCTACACTTGGCAGATAGACAACCTATTTATTTACTGATACAATAGCAATAATTTTATCATGTAAATGTAATATACTGCAATCTGTGATACTTGGGTTGGAGTAAATAATATAGATTTCAGTTTTTGATGTTAAACACTTTTTATCATTCATGTGAACGAACATCAGGTAAAAGTTTCAATCAATAATTTTCATTATTCATGATTGTATGGGAGTTCGAAGTATATCGCACCTGGCAACTGCGCCAGCAACTTTGGATTACCGCCAAAGGATCGATTTTTGGACATTTTTGATGTTTTTGTGCCAAATGATGCAAAATTAACCCGTCTGAGTTGTAGTATTTCAGTTTTTTGGTCCACTTTGCAGCACATTTAGCCCTACATTGTCACAAATTTTCCGAATGGTGGTCTAAAAAATATTCTCTAAAGTTTAACGTGATTCCTGCGATATTTTATATGTTCAAAGTCTACGCTGTAGGGTATATCTCCAATATGTCATGTAACAATGGAACACTAGACAAGGTACGAATTTAAGCAATCTGATACATGTTCCGTAGCCAAAATTTCACGTAAATCACGATTCGCGCAACGAAAATTACTGAAACCAACTCCTAACGAAGATATTAACGTTTTTATTTCACATTGGTTACGAGGAATTTGAACAGTCCGCTCACAAGAAAATTCAAAGCTCCACGCGAGTCAAATCGCGCACTACAACAGTTTCAGCAAGCCTCTCAATCGAGCAATGTTCCTTTACCACCATGTATTGTTCAAACTATAAGCAATTCGCTATAGCTGAGCCAGAGCGTCAAGATTGAGGTTGCCAGATTCTATATCGCAGAGACTGTCATGATAATGTTGAGCACGAGCGATGTGAATCACGTAGAGCATTGAGTTTTCATGAGTGGATGGTTTGAATTCACGCATCAAGAATCATCAAGTATCTTCGTAAAGAGTTGATTTTGGTAATTTTTGTTGTGCGCATCGTGTTTTTCGTGAAATTTTGGATAAGGAAATCAGAATGCTGAAATTTGTACCTTGTCTAGTGGTCCATTACATTTTCCCGGTTCGTTTAAAGAATCCGCTTCTGTTAGTTGATTCTTTGAGAACGAGTCCTAATAGGCCCTTATAACCGCTAACACGGAGACAGGACGCGCGCACTTGGATAAGGATAAAGGGACCGAATACAGGGAGCACTGATTTTTACTTCCCTCAAAGTCACGAGAGGCCTTAAATTTTGAGCTCGCGTTTTCGAACGGAAAGTAGCGGAATCCATAGCATCGGCAGCAGAAAGTAAAGCTGCAATCACGAGCCGCAATGATGCTACTTCCTGGAAAGAGGATTAAACTGCTCGTAGGCTGAGGATTTTTCAAGGAATGGTTTTATGAATCTCGCGAGATCGGCATAGCCTACCCTCCATCCGACGCCTCAATGTTTCCGTTCAAAATCTGCTCCTTGGAGAAATTGATATGGTGATAAATAGGCGGGAGGGTTGCCTTTGTTGTGATGGATGCGTTGTCAAAGCATCAAATTGTATTTTAAAGTATTCTCATTCGTTTACTCTCACAAAATAGGCAGTGAAAAACTTGCAACGTCGCGACTTGAGGTATAAACAATTTTTAAATCACCGTCAGTGATTAAAGAATGTGTAACTGCGCACGCGCTTGAGTTTAATATCAGCGGCAATCGTGATCTTCGGTAATCAGGTCGAAGCGATACAGTTGAAGGCGCTACGAGCAACTATTCCACCATGGAAGTGTTGCACAGTATCAGACGGAAATGAAGGCGCACTAACGTTTGTAAATTGGCTGGTATCGTTTAGCACTGTGAAAATTGTACGAAATGCGGATCCTGTTCGATCGATTTTTGTGGAAATTGGTACAACGCGATATTCTTTGACGGGAAACTTAAATTTAAACTCAAATTTTCAAAATTCGAAAAATGAGATTTTTAAAGTTCCTGTTCTAACACATTTTGACCGCTTAAAGTTTTCGTCGAAATGATACTTTTGATGATGACAAGAAATGATGAAACCCGGGATTAAAACACTTCTATCGTGAAAACACGTCATACAAAACATTTTAATGACTAGAACGGGGAGGAACAAAAGAAAAGAACGTATGTTACGCACTCGTACTTCCTTGAAGGTGTTTTTTTCTTCTTTAATGGTTCATCCGCTCATGAGTATATGAATGTTTTTTTTTTGTTTTTTTTTGGTTGTATATGTAAATTTGTTGAAACCCTTGCCCAAGCATTTTTAGCCCTTCCCAGATTCAATTGAAACAATATCCCTGAGCACTACCGGAAATTCTTTAGCTTTGTAATAAAAGTACTTCTGTTCAATTTTCAAAGCCAAATTATCACCAGAAAATGCATTATGTACACTGAGAACCGTCATTAAGTTACTTCGAGCTTTAAGGGGGATAAGGTGGGAGGATCCTCAACATTGCATGACTCGGCGTTTAAGTTGGAGAGAAGCGCCTATTTTTAAAATAAGTTTTGAGAACTATGGCAAACATTGATAGAATGGGAGAATTTAGCAAAGCCGAATGTAATTTTTTGGGGAGGATATTTGGATTGAATTTTGCAAAACGGAACCAAGAGCATTCCAATGTCGCTAAGATTGTGCAACTTTGTTTGCCTCGCAAATATACACGGATTATCTAAACTAATTTTATCTTTACTCCCGGTAAACTATAACTTAAAGGCGAAAATCAACTTTGTAAATTTAATTTTTGGCATGATTTCAGTAATTTCATTGAATGAATATAAGATACACAATCTCAGCAACATCGGAATGCTCTTGGTTCCTTTTTGCAAAGTGCAATCCATTTCATGGCTGTATGTTGAGGGCGTAGGAGGTATGAACTCCCGAATTTTGCTCGAGGTAATTTACGGACGACCCCTCATACCTGAAAATGAATAAAAGAGCATATCCAATGTGGTATGTACATATTTTAGTGATGTGAAAAGAGAGAAGGAGAGAAAGTTGGGGGCGTACCGTTTACGACTCACCTCCGAAGCTCCGCCAATCGGAAGTGCTCCTCTTGCCCCACGTCGAGTGGAGGCTGTTCCAAGATCGTTTGTCTTCGTCTAACCGCTCGTCGTCTTGTGCCTGTGAGTCCAGCGGCGAATCTCGTTTACCCCACGAGCCCTGTTTCAAAAAAGCACAAATTAGAATGACTCCGTCTTCGTAGAACCTTAAAATGTTCGTAGAATCTGAAGTATAGAGAATTTGCAGGTGTCTGAAATTTGATGAATTTCGTGTTTCAGTGGAAACTACAGAGTGGACAGCTGAACACGAGCATACTCTTGGTTCATGAATTGAATAATTTTTGGAGAAGGTGTGACAAAATGATCTAATCTGCTAAAATACATGCGTTTAAATGGGAAATGCCGCCAGATGACGTCAATAGGCGGTGCATTTTCTCACTTTTAAATCGATTTTTATACTATTTGCCATATTAGAAAAAAATTATAAAAAATACTTTGAAATCAGCCTTTTAAGCGCTTTCAGATGAAGCAGTAAAAAATTTGCACGCAAATTCTCCATTTCAGATACAGCAACGATTCAGATCCGCATTTCATAGAATCATTTCGATTAAATTTTGCCCTTAGTAACTGCAAATTCTGTCTCACTTTAGAAACAATGTAAGTAGCATTAGTTTCCCTATCCTTACAAGTGTTTTTATCGATTAGACAGAAATTATAGATCTGAATTGCAAGATGTAGTTCATATGGATCGGGCTTTATAGAAATGCACCTAGGCTGCAGTCGCGAACTGGACTTAGAACTGACTTGTAAGGAAACGAAGCCAAAACGCCTTCAATTTTTGAGTATGCAACATGGACATCCGTTAAACACGAATAGTTGCAGTCGGGCGTTGCGATCGACATGTCCAGGCAAATAAGGAAAAGAGCCTGCAAAAATCCGCAATGTTCACAGTGATTCGTATGTAATTTTTGACGCTGAATACGAATTTCAATTTTGTACCAATAAATTCGGACCGGAACGTTTCCAAAATTGGCAAAATAGGCCTGAACTTGGCTTTTTTGGCGGATTATGGCCTGTAACTCACGAGGAATTGAAAAAAAATTAGTCAATTTCAAAATTGGATAATAAATAAGCAAACAATAAGTTACCCAAGATTTGAAGTTTCACATCACCGAAATCTTGGATCATCCGAGCCGAGCACCTTGGTCTACTTTATGAACCGAAGTCGATGTTGGTAACCATAGTTTTTCTCTCCCTCCACGATGAGTGTTTTCTCAGGATTTTAATATTACATTTAAGTAGGCCCTTGCCAAAGAAAATGCATAAGTTGGTAGGATTCGCGTCGACATGGTAGCGAGGGTGATCGCCCCCATTCGGACGGCCACGCCTTCACCCAAATGCTCTAGCCCGACACTTAAGGTCGATTTATGGTAACATTTACCCATTAATTCGGCCCCCATAAGCTCTAATTAACGTTATTCGTCGGGTGACTTAATGATGCGGCACAATAATTTCCTGATCGTTCCTTTTGCCCGTCGCAGTTCGACTATCCCGCAGATCTGGGGCAGAATAATCGCTTCGCTGACATGTGGACATAGCAGCGTAGTTGTTTCTTTTAACTATGTTGTAGCATACTGCACAATTTTTCTAACACTTTATCGGCACTGTGAACACGAATAGAAGATGAAGATGGGCGGCTCGCCCGAAATGGTCATCGTGCGTAAAGAATAAAATAAGTCATTTAAGTATTATCGGTTTTTGAAATTTTTTTGATTTGTATCGACAAAAGTGTTTCTTGTAAAATGAGCTCTGCCATCCATTGAAGTCTCTGCTTGCTGGGGGTCTTAAGAAAATGGAGTTACTATTTTTTAACTGACAAACGATGAGATATTGGTTTAGCTTTGGGAACTTTTTCTTCCTTGCTTTTCGTACTTTCTTATCGGTATGCGGCGTTGCAAATTTCCTATCATCCTTCATTTTTTGGTAGAAAAATACTCAACATATTTTCTTGGAAATTTTCCTGATTTTTCTTCTCTACGTGGAAATTTCTCGCAGTGTCGTTGATTTGTTCTCTTTTTATAAAATGAAATGGGGGCGGAGATTGCCATACACCACTGATGAGTTACGTGTTTTTGAAGTTTCTACCCTTGATATTGATATGAAATCGCCTACACGGAATGACAGACCTTAGTTTAAAAAAAACTCACAAAATTTCCGAAGAAAGAATTTTTTGCAAACAATTAGGAAAAAAAAACTTCCAAAATTTTTAAATAAGGGCGGGTCGAAATCATAGTTTGCAAAAATATAGCTATCTCAAATTAGAGTCAAACATGTCTGGGGTACGGAGTTGCCCAAATTGCCAAGTTAAAGTTCATTTTTGACTACATTATTAACAAAACAACTCGTGACTTCTTATTTCGGATATTGCGAAACACTCCTTGTCAAAATCTCAAATTCCAATTTTTCGACTCAAATGAACAGTTTCTTTTTCAAGGACCGCCATTTATCTTGATAGTGAGGATACGGGGGAAAAAATATAAACTATGCAATAGTATGAGAATAGAGAGTAGAGTATGTACCCTCGCCACTTCGAGGCAATAAAATGAGCTGGGTCACAATTTGAAAATGTAGTTGGACCTCATTTTGCAATTGGGAACGAAAATTACCAGCTCACCCGTAAAAACACTCATTTACGAAAGGAAACTAATGGTACATACATTGTTTCTAAACGGAGCCAGAAATTGTAACTCCGAATTGAAAAATGTAGTCCATTTGACTTATCTGAAGACTAGTACCTGTCAATGGTCGGTAAAGCATGAGAATCGGTCCGACAGATTGCTAAATTATAACCTTCTTTTTTGTTTCAGTTATTTCCTCCACCTTACAGAAAACAAAAGTTACTATTTTGTAAAAGAAAAAAAAATCCTAGATTGATGCTGCACAACGTAAATCCTCTGGGGTCCTAACGAATTTCATTCTCGTTTTATTTCGAAACTAGCTCTGAATTTTATTTTTCATTATAGGACGGCAGATTTGTTTGCTGAATTGAGGAGTAAACTCGAGAAACGCTCTGGTTATTGCGCGCTTCTCTCCCGTGCAACTTATTTACATATTTTTTTCGCAATTCAAGAGCTTCTGACTCATTCCGAAGTTGTCAAGCCGAGGAAGAACTTCACGATTTCCAATAGTTTGACAACACAACATTATTTTTTTCCCCTTTAAATCTACATTAAACAATCGGTTCTTCGTAAGGCAGCTTGCCTCACCTAAAATCGATATTTTTAGTGGATATGAATGGAGGAAAAATGGTGTCACCAACTTTCAAGAATTGCCCCGGTTCTGTATTGGATAGCGCTGCGTAAACCAGTCACAATTGCATTGAGAAGTTTGAAAGGATTATTTCATTTGGAGGTTAAGATTTGATTTTGTCAAGAATGCAATTTTGGGAGTTGCTTTTCGAATGAAAAAGTTAAACTAAATGTTCAGCTCATCTTTTAAATGCAATTGAATTATTACAACGATGGCGCACATTGGTCATAACGTTTTATAATCTTAAATCATGTTTTATTTATTTTTCTTTTTAAAGAAGACCAACAAGGATATTTCCCGCGAAATTCCTTGTAGATAGTTTTGAATAAGTGCAAAAATTTACAGAAAATTTAAAAAAAAACCCTCGTGTATGATCTCCTTTTAAAAAATTTAGGCAGATGTCCACTGTTGCAATCGCATGTATGCATAGTTCGCTTCTAGCCATCGATACATTTCCCTTTACATTGCCACTGTCATGAATTCATCAACCCACTGAATCGGAAATAACCTCGTACACTAGATTTTTTTCTGTGTGTTTCGCATGTTCATTCCATTTGTACCGATACCAAAATATAGATGCCTATCAAGTGGTTTGGAAACATGTCATAAAAACGCGCAGCACAGTATGTGTTTTTTACCCTCTCTGTCCCTTTTTTGCCACCCCCACCGCTCCTACTCCATCCCTCCGGACAAGGTCATCATAGCCCGAGGTAGGTCCATGTGATACGTGACGAATTATAGAAAGGTCTAATCTTCACCCGCCCTCCCCGCAACTGAATCGGTCGATCCTGAAACCGGGCATGCCTATAATCTGACGAGCCCTAGAATATAGGCTCTCCTATGCAGCTCAGATCTCATCAGAAAATGGGATTGTTAGTTTTTTAGCATAGACCGATCCAACTTTAATTTTCATGGGAACGTGGAAATGAGTTCGCGTCGCAAAAATAACAAAAACACGGGGTGGCAGGGTTGTCATGTCCCCTTGGGAAAACTCGGATTTTCTAGACTTTCAAGGGTGGCATAAGATAATTTTCTGAGAAAGCTGGCACGCATGCACTCATTCATCGTTTGTATCGTCTCCTGCAACAGAGCAGGATTAAAAATTGGGGAATTTTGCAAAGTTAAGGGGTCAGAGACGGTATACGCATTATGACAGTTTTAATGACTAAAGTCGGAAAATGCGCACCGTTATTGCAACGCTTTTCTTTGCAACGAAATTCTCGATCATTATGTCATTCTCTGTAATGTATTAGCGTTAGATTAACGCGTAACGCATCACGTTAGAGGCGGGAGAGGCGCTTTTGAGGGTTAAACCGCGGTCAGAGCGCGGAGTCCTCTATTTTTCTTGATAGGAAACTAGCCAAACTATCTTCCTTACATTTTCTGTGAATACGTATATTTTATTCTAATCAGCAAAGAAAATTGGTAGCAAATTTTAAAGAAATCGAATGATTATTTTTCTTAGAAAAAATAGAACCTCAGCAGAGATCTGCAACACCAATTCGGCCGCACTAGGGAAAAAAAACCGTATGAACATCCGAGAGTTGCCGAATATCTTTCGATAAAATGTTCATTTTTGAGGAGAGTTTTGAATATTTTCTCTTAAAGGTTTCAGATGATGTAGCTCTGATCGCAAATGAAATCTCCCAAACATTTGCTCCGGTAACATTTCATGGTGACGTCACACTTAATATTTTTTGAAGGGCGATATCTCTATGAATACAACGAGGAAATTATTTGTGTTCTTGTTTTACTTCCGGTTGATACAGGAAGTGAAACACAAACCAACCTAAATTTCATGATGATTTTGGTACAATTTACGGTAAATTCAGCGCCGAAGACAATGAGAAG